AAACTTTTCTTTAATTTCTGAAAAAAAGTTATTGATTTTAATCTTAAATTATTATTTAAAAAAAATATATATTAATCCAAATGAAAATCTTAATAAAAAAATAAAGTTTCATCCTATTTTCTATTTTAATTTCTCCCAAAAGAATTTTAATTCCAAATTCGAATTCGAAACGAATTCAATATATGCTTCAATATAATTAGTACTGAAGCATATTTCAAATAAAAAACATTGAAAATAAATATTGAAATATATATTAAAATAATTCTANATAGAGACAAAAAATAAATGCAATTATTTATATATATAAGAAAAAATAAATTTTCTTTACAATTTCTCATTTGCGAACTTATGAATATTAACTTTTTAACTTTAAGTACATTTTAGAATTATTATATTTAAATTATATAAAAATTATTATATAAAAACAAAATAAAATATTATATAAAAACAAATATTAATCAAATATAATAATGATTTACAGGATTTCATGAAAATAATACTCAAATATTTCATTCTATGTATATTTAAGAAAATATTTATCAATTGCTTATAAGAACATATAAAAATGATATTTCAATATAACAATAAAACTAAAATACAATATGTTTTTTTGTCTTCTCAAAAAAAAAAAAAAAAAAAAACATGAAAACAGATATAATGAGATATTACAAAAATAAAATCACTTATCTCCATTGGATCTAAGCATTTAATATTTTATCAGTCTTAGTTTATACAACATATTAATTATTGCAAAAAATATATATACATAAATATTGTTTGTTGTATTAAAATACAATGATAAAATGTTATCAAGGGTTATCAATATCATTATCTTGTATTACAAACAAGAAAATAATTTTTAGATAAATATACATAAATGTAATATCGATAATAAAATAAAAATATTCATTTTATATTAAACTGCAATTGTATAGCGCTTATGAATAAGTAAATAATATCTATTTTTATATAATATCTATATATTTATATTTATATAATATCTGAAAAATAAATAATTGAAATTGTATATAATATTTTACACATATATATATATATAATATGTAATAATTAAAAAGTATATAATTGACATTAACTTATTATACATTATAAAATCAAATAATTATTTCAAATATTTTAATCAATTTAATCAGAAACAAACTATTATTGCAAATTTAAGACTTAAAGAAATGCAGATATTTTCTTTTCTCATTTCAAATATCTATTATTATCAATATTATAAGAAAAATCAGTTATAATCAAATTCAATTGACGGAAGAACTACGCAAATGTGATTCCATCACACCACGTGTCGTAATTAACCGATGAATTATAGCAAGTAGGAACGCGTGAACGCGTGAAATATAATAGGATAGAGATAAGTAGCAAACGAAGCATCGAGCGTTCAAATTCATAACAGCAGGAAGATTGAGTAATTAGGTGACCCAACTCTCAAATGTCGATGTCATTATCCATGCGAATCGCAGTACAAAAGAAACAGGACGAAGATACGCTCACTCACATTTATAATTAATTCTCGCCAAGTCCTTCTGTTTTTTTTCTTTTTTTTTCCTCTCTCTTTTCTTCTTCCTCCTCTTTTTTATGTTTGGTGGTGCAGCGTAAATTGAGTTGGCGAATTAACTAGATTGTCGTATAATTAAAGCAATTTGTTGGATAACGGTGATGCGAATTACGACAAGATGACGGACACGATATGGTTCTCACGCTAATCGATTTTGTTGATAACGATAAATTAGCAAAGAGAAAAAAGAAAGATTGAAATGTGTTGGTGAAATACATAGATTGAGATTGAATATAAAAATTAGAAAAATTTATTTAAAAAAATCTTACTTTTCCATCATTTTCTGTTGAAATTTTTATTGTCCATGAAGCGTTGCATGTTATATTATTTACACTGGCTAAAGTTGTTCATGAAGTATTCGCTTTGTAGATACCTATTATACTGCGTTTACACTGACTAGAGATTTTTGCGAGCTGCTTACGACCTCTTTGGGACTTGTTCGTAAACAGTAAATTATCGTATTCAGACTAGAACTTGCAAACAATGTCAGCTTTAGCCAATGCAAATTCAGTATTAAATTTGTTGAGATCGTTATTATGTATAAGTAACACAAATAACACAGTTAATTGATTCCGTGTTATATAAGATTTAGAATCGTATAAATATAATGATTATGTTCTATGATTCTGATCCTGCTGATAATTTGAATTCAAAAATTATCGTTGTTAACAGAAATAATGTTACTGCTTACTGAGTAAGTCTTATATATATTGTTAATACGTTTTTTATCAAGCACCAAATTGAAATTAACAAGCATTTTTTCTTTTAAATGGGTTTTTACATATAAAAGTTTTTATAATAATTACACGAAAATTTTATAACAATTTTAACAGGGAATGTGATAATTGACAAAATTTTAATTAAATAAAAATAGTTTTTCTTAAAATTGTTAAAAAATACTTTAAAAATAATACATTTAAAATACTGTTATTCGATGATTGGCACAATTTTTCGTACTATTTTTATGTAATTCAAATACAAGTGATATTCTTATAAATATAAGATATACATATCAAAATTTTTAAGCTTGGTTTTTTTTAAAGAAATTTTTCGTGAATAACAAAATGTCTAATTAATTAATTAATTAGGTAAATGTCTAATCTTTATGCTCTACATGTAATTTTTAAAATTAGAATTTTTAAATTAGAATTTTCTTAATAATAAGATTAGAAAAAAATTTGTGATTAATTATAAATTTTATAATTATTTTAAGTTTAAGTATTTTATTTATTAATTCATCTATTATTTAAGTTTAAATATCTTAAAAAAAAATATATGTTTGAAAATACATTTTAAATTGTTTTTCTAAACATTTTTATATAAACTTTTATCAATATTTTGTTGGCAAATTCAATTAAATTAAATTAACGATTTCTTATGTAAAAATTTATATGTTTTGTTACTTTATGTACAATTCAAAATTATCATTATTGTTTACATATTATTATAAATTACGATTATTTTGTTATTTATTTAAAATCTAATGCAGCTATATTTATAGAAAATTAGATATAAGTTATATCACAGCGATACATAAGTTTTGCATAATACAAAAAAATACAATTTTTTCTGTTCGTTTCTTTGAAAGAATTAAATAGAAACTATTTTGTTAGATATTGATTATTTAATTATATTATAATATTTTTAATACAATATATGTTTATAAGTAAATAAATAAATATGTTTAAAAAATTTATGAAATATTATTGATTTATCTATATTGAATTTTATTCAAATATTACCTTATTTCATTTAGTAATATATCTCATTAAACAATTATCATCATTTTCTGTTATTTTGTATTACATCTTTCTTTAAAAAAATAAATATTATATACAAGCGAATTACAATTTAAAAAAAATAAAAAATTGTTGAAAAATATTTGTTTCCTCGATATTTCTTCAAATAATAAAATAACAATATGTTGTTATCAAACTGATCTATCGTGATGAACTGTTATGTTTTTGTATAGACTGATAATTTCAATAAACAATAGGATACTTAAACCATGCATTTTTCGTTCGTGACAGCACATGATACGAGGATCTCTGGAACAATAGTGAATGATATCGATAGGATGGCGATCGGGATTAATGGCCCATGTCTGTTGCGAGATTTTCATGATACGATAAAAAGTATAAGTACAACTTTTGGCGAAGAAATATGAAAATGGTAATCGAAAAAAATTATGCGAGTATAATATTTCGAAGAGGCAAACGATGCGTAGCGGTTTATGATAGTTTTGAGAATTAATTTCATGCAACAAAATATCGAATATTTCATGATAATTCAATCGTAATAAATATAAATATTGTTCGTTATATATGTTATTTTTTAGTTTTGATATTTTTTCAATTTTATTTCTTTTCTTAATGATGAGATCAAAATTAAATACTGACAGATTAAATTCGAATTTTTTATAAATATCTAAAAAAAGAAAAGATTCTTTTAAGTTAGTTTCAGAAATAAAATAGATTCAAACAGAAATTTTAAAAATTTTCTATTTATTTAAAATTAATTTTCTTAATTTTTAATATTATATAATTATATAATTATATATATAATATTATATATTATATAATTTTTATATATATATAATTTAATTATAATGCTAATAAATAAATTATGTCTTTTAAATGATTATTTTTTTATGATTTTTTTAA